ACACACACACACACACACACACACACACACACACACACACACACACAGGCAGGTCCAAAAGAAACTAAGAATGAAACAATTAAATGAAAAGCACTTTTTAAAAGACATTCAAAAAAGTGACTGAAATAGAGTGACCTACAAATTCGGCAAGATGAAAGGAACTGGTCATCTTTTTCTGTCTTTGCTGAGGTGTTTACGATTCGCTCATCTTACAGAGGAGCCCTGGTGGTGCCGTGGTTAAGCGATCGGCTGCTAACCGGAAGGTCAGCGGTTTGAATCCACCAGCCGCTCCTTGGAAACCCTATGGGGCAGTCACTGTAAGTTGGAATCGACTGGGCGGCGATGGATTTAATCGTACAGAAGGAAGCAAACGTTAGTCATTGTAGTTAGTGATTTTAATTTATCTGGTGCAACTGCTAAGGACTACACAGATAATGCAACAGACCAGACATGCTTCATACTGTCTTGTTTTAAGTGGAACCTTTAAAAATTCAGTTAAAAACACCATAAAAAACCCACTGCCATCGAGTGGATTGTGACTCAGAGTGACCCTACAGGTCAGAGTAGAACTTCACCACAGGGTTTCCAAGGCTGTAAATCTTTACGGAAGCAGAACGCTACATCTTTCTCCCATGGAGCAGCTGGTGGATTTCAAACTGCTGACCCTTCTGTTAGCAACTGAGCGCTTAACCACTGTGCCACCAGGACTCCTTAGTTAAAAACAAGTGTACTTTAATATAAACCTCCTTACATAGATATATGTAATTTTAATTTAGGCTTTGACTTTGCGATTCTAACAGTGTATTTTAAAATGACCTTGAATTCCATGTTTTTAGCCATGATTGGCTTCAGCATGTGCCAAGCCTCCTCAAGCACTCCACAGCTAGCCGGCCCTGTGCATTCACCGCACAGTCTTCCTGATTATACTGCTGAGGGAGGAGGCGTGGCCACCTTGTACCTTCCCTAAGGTACTCTCTAATTCCCCAAGACTACACAGTAACCCCTCCAAAGACGTGAATTACAAACTTTCAAATATAAGTAGAATTAGTAACCAAAAGTTAAAACATGGCTGCATTTAAATGTATGTAGTTTCAGGTAGAGGCTCAGTCAAAAACTGGGATACAAGTAAGTGACAAATATCAGACACTATTCAAAAACTGGCTTGTTCTCATTTGTCCACAGAGAGGTTTAGATACTCCACAGACCAGTTTTTCCAAGCTTTCTCCTTCGTAAACTTCTTAGTGACCCGAACACAAGCACTCTTACTTTCTCGCAAAGTTATGTACATCCCGAACCAAAAAAACCAAACCCACTGCTATCGAGTCAATTCCGACTCAGAGCAACCCTAGTAGGGTTTCCAGGGTCCAGCTGGTGAATTCCAACTGCAGACCTTTTGGTAGCAGCCGAGCCCTCCATGCTTCCTGGGTTGGCAAGATTGACTCCTAATCCTTCACTTCCCCTCCAGGCCACCTCCATTCACATGGGGAATGGCAGAGGAACTGCTTTTCACTTCCGGTAGGGAAAAACCCTAAAAGGACTGGTACTCATGCCCTTCCCCCTATTAAAGTCAAAGAACAACCATTTTATACCCCAGGCTCCAGAGCTATTTTCTGAGGCCAATGTGGTGAAAAGGAGAAACTTTGACTTTTTTTTGTTTTCTTTTGACAACATGGCAATTATGTGACCTATTTTTTTCCTCTCTATGAGGTACATCAAAGTCTGTTATCCACATTTGAGCAACCAGATCCCTATTAAGTAGCCAGGGCCGCTGCTTCATCGCCACATTTATAACTGACGTTTCCAGGAGCCCCCCTGAGGGCATTCGAACCCGGAAGGGATGGTCAAAACAACTAAGACTCAATTCCATTCACTATCACTGTAGTAGAGAGATTCTTCTACTCTTTGGTCCTGTCAAGATTGGTCACCCAAGCTTGGTATGGACGACAATCGCACTAAGCCCATATCCCAGGTGGGGAAGAGCGTTGAATATGGCGGGAACACTTTTCACAAATCAGTTACAAGACCGTGGGGACTCCTGGCACTTCACCGGCTGAAAGCAGCTGTGTTACAAAGCCTTTATGGGTCTGGGGTTTGGAAAAACGAGGTACCAGTGAGGAAGGAGGGGAAGACAGAGAAAAGAGTACCTTCCATTATAAATGTATTACTATAAACCTGAAACTTAGACTATTGTAATGAAGTGCTGGTTTAAATGTTAGCCTTTCAAGATCTGGATTTACTACATTAAGTACACTTTTTAATTGACTAGCATATTCCCAGAGCTATAAAACAAAACGCTTTGAGTAGTATAAAATTATGATATTCTTGAATCATCTGCTTTCTAAGATAGTGAAATATGAAGTATCATTACTATCATTTCAAGAGATAGGAACTTTTGAAAACTATTGAATGTTGTTACGCTGAGTTGGTTATGCAAGCTGCAAACTTCTTGGCTGTTTTATTTCACACAAAAAAGTTTTAGTAATAAACCTTTTCTAAATCTGTTCCTTTAATTTTCATGCTTGCAATGTTCACTCTCCTAAGCACAAACAACCTCCTAATTGAAGAAACCTTCACTTAATATTAAAGCTTAATATTAAAGTTTCAACATTTCGTGCTCTTGAAATAAAATGTCTATTTTATATATATATATATATATATAGGCTTAACAAAGTGGTTTGTATTGAAAAAGAGAAACCTGGAATCCCTCCCGTCGAGATTTCTTGTTTAACTCAAATCTTCTCATCTCTAACAATAGAAATATCACAGAATATACATTGCCCCATAGCATTTAGTGTGTACAACCCAGGGCTTTCTCTTCTAATCCTAAACTGAAAAGTTACTTTTTGTGCAGGAGGGACAGGAAAGATGCAGAGATATACAATTAAAAAAATAAATAAATAACATCTCCTCATCCCTCTTTCTTACTGTCCTTTTGAGTAAAACATAAATTGTATGACTTGGTAAAAACATCAACCAATAAGAATATTAAACAAGAAGGAATAATGGCATCTTGACCAAGTTATTCAGTGCAATTACAAAAACAAAAATAAAACCTTTATCCTCCAACTCATTGCTCCAAAAATGAGAATATTATATCCTATTTGTTCTCCTTCCCCTGGAAGAAAAGATACTATGAAGTAGGAAGCAGAAGATTCACATTGGGACAGACTACGGGACTTGGGAAATGGAGCTGGGAAGCGAGAACTCATTCATTCCTCTTTTATTTCCCGTGGCAATGAGCATTTTGGCCTCTAGTCAAAGAAGTGCAGCAATGAGCTCAAACGTAACAATGACTGTGAGAATGACACAGGCCTGGGCAGCGTGTCATTCTGCTGTACATAGGGTCACTACGAGTCGGAACCGACTCGATGGTACCTACCAACAGTCAAAGAAGTGATGTAAACATAAGTGGAGGAGGACTTATTCTGCTTTTCAACTCTCAGACAGAAACTGGGATGTTACTTGACCTTAGCTGGAAGGTCAGGTTAGTTACCTACTTTCAGAAGTCAGCTAAAGGCTAGCTTTGTGATCACCCAACAGAACTAGAGAACAAGATTCACTCGGCTTATGTCTCTGAAAAAAGGGAGGCTGAGAGCAGGAGCTGGCTCTTTCCTATAAGACAGTCTAAGTTGTTAGATGAGTGCTGAACAGTGTGCCATGCATGCATTTACAGATGACATGAACTTGGGTAATTCCTATTTTATACTGAGAATAACTGTCAATTAAAGAAGTCCCAAAAAGGTCTATACTAACTTGAAAGAGAAAACAAAAACATTTAATGAAATATAACTCCAAATCCCAAGGTAATAAGCCTTTGACAATCCAATTTTTTTTTTTTTTTGCTGGCTCTTCAGTCACAAAGTAATGCAGTGTACATGCAGCATTCAAACGTTTAATGATTTGGTTTTTTAAACTATTGACTGAAGTAGTGTTTCCTTCGGCTGACTTTTTCTTCTTCCAACAATCACAGAGGAACAAACACAGAAGGTCCCAACTCTGGAGACACCAGACGCGGCTGATGACTAACCCTCTGCATCACTCGCAAAATACGTGTCTAAAAAAATGCAGTCAGCAGAGGGTTCTTGGGTTTTAATATCAACCAAAAAACAAACCTACAGCTGTGGAGTCGATTCCGACTCCTAGCGACTCTAAAGGACAAAGTAGAACCGCCCCACAGGGTTTCCAAGGCTGTAAATCTTTACGGAAGCAGATGGCCACATCTGTCTCCCCCCAAGGAGAGGTGAGTTCGGACCACCGACTTCTTGGTTAGCCGTCAAGCGCTTTAACCACTGTGCCCCCAGGGCTCCTTCTTAATGTCAAAGATGATCTAAATACTCTCTTTCTAGCAACCTATCTGCACCTCTGACAGAGCTGTCTCCTGGCCTGGCGGGGATGGGAGAGGGTAGGTTGAGCAAAAGCTACAAAACCAGTGACAAACGCCTAAGGGCAAACCGTAGAGGTGAAGGTAGGAGCCATCAGTCGACTTACAGCAGCTGCTCCCAGGGGGAGCCCACTTCAGCACCGACTCGGGGAGCGCATCCAGCAGACTAGAACAAAACAGACAGAGGAACGCACACTGAATTTGTTTTAAACACAGGCACTCACTGCTTTGATTAGAAAATAAAACTCTACTTCCAGATAGTAGGTCACTTGCTTCACCCACTGCAATGGGTGGGAGGGTAAGTAGAGGTGGGGGAGAGACCCCTCGATTCCCACGGACCAATTTTATATCAACCAGTTAGAAACTAAATGATGTAGAATTATGGTATAAATGCTTTAATTCAAAGTCTGTGCATGCAGACATACAGACATAGGGATATCGGTCATGATTGTTTTATTAAAAACAACAATGAAAGTGTACAGGAGAAATACTTTATCTAGACCTTCAGGATATTATTCCTCAGGCACTATCATTGGAGAGGGGCACAGCATTTAATTATTTATCTAAGTTATTCTCCATTGGGCAGTGTTTTATGCTGCCCTGCGATTAAGCAGGTCATCTAGAATATCCAAAAGACGAAAACAAAGAACAAGCAAATAAATCAACCCCAAGGTCCTAACACTTGCCAGTACTTCAGACTGAACAGGTATAATCTCTTCATTGCTTCAGCCACAGAGATACAAACATTCAACTGAAATTTTTGGTGTGAGTGTTTCATTCACAAACTCAGGCACGATCGCAACAATAAATGCATCCATCTAAAACCACCCTATCTTAGGAAAATACAGGGCATACGGGAGATAGAGTACTGTGGCTACATAAACAAACGTGGCCTTATGGGAAGTTCAATGTTATGTTTTCTATAGCTAGTTGCCTAAATTATGATCATGGATTGTAGACTATAAGAACTTTAAAAATGTTTATGGTTTATCTGAATTATAAATTTCATAATATTATATTAGGTCCTGTTGCCGTCGAGTTGATTCTGAGTCACAGCAACCCTGTAGGACAGAGTAGAACTGCCCCATAGGGTTTCCAAGGAGCAGCTGGTGGATTCAAACTGCCGACCTTTTGGTTAGCAGCCGAGCTCCTAACCACCGTGACACCACGGCTCCATGGTCTATAGGTTTACATTATTAATCAAATCAAAATAGATATTAGCACTCATAAGAGTCCCCAAATCTAAACGGAGGTTATTGGTATTATATTCTATTATTTTATGTGATACTTTATTATTCTGCATGAATATACCTAAATAGATACATTCATCATAGGCACCTACAATGAGTGCATCTCTCTGTAGACGGTAGGCAGGTAGGTTGATTGATTGATAGCTAGAGAGACAGACTGTGAGACAGATATATGACAGATAGATAAATAGAGAGAAGACTAAAACAAATCATATTGGTAAAACTTATTAAAAGAAAACACATGTAATTATTAGAATTAAAATGTTAGTTTTTAAAATACAGTACATCATTTGAATCAGGTAAACTGAGTTGGAGAATTGGATACCGGGACTGGTTATCTATGCTCATTGCTGTGCATTGACCTGGCCCCTCATCTGATGAATGTAAGTTACATGAAGAATAATATGGGCACATCAGTCTCCACAGTAAAAAAACCTATTAGATAGTTCCAATATTGACGTACGTAAGTGTGTTCGTTTTGGGGAAGGGACTAGAATGATCAGGATTCCAAGTGGAGGAATATTACATACGTGTCAGGATTCACAAAGGTCATCTGTTATTCTGAGTCTCCAGGCTACCCTTTCTCTCCACTGGGAAGAGTCGCCACACTAAATTTGAAGACTGACTTCGGCGGTAAGACGTCCTCTTTGTACACTTCTGTTGTGACTCGCCCTACTTAAAACTTAGCTGCCTTTTCCAACTGTGATAGTACATCTGCAGATAACTCCTGTGGGACATACCCTGGAGTATAACGAAGGGCTGCCTGTTCTGTGCAACATGCAACCAACTTGTTCTCGGGGAGAAGACAGTAACACAGTAATGCACTCTCTTCTTAGATTGGCCTGATTTTCATGCCAACAGATTCTAAGTGATAAAAATGGAATGTGGAATATTAAAAATGTCTTTGTGGCTCTAAGATGATCTTTTGTGTATATATCCCATACAGAAGTTTTGTTTGTTTCTTCCTCAAGAAATAAAACGTCCTCCCTCTGAGACGGGGGCTTAAGAAAGAGCTGCGTTGCTCTCACTTGGAAAATATCAGCCCTGTTTGTCCCATTTCACGCTGTTGCTCTGTACAGGTAATACCAATGACATCAAGCTCACACTGCCTCTGTATACTTGTGCAATGCTAACTTGAAAATACTCTTCCTTGAAAATATCACCACCTAGAATCTAAGCTTTGGAAAACGCCACATAAAGGAACACATATTTCACTTTAAGTTTTGCATTGCAACTCACGTATGTGTGACTTTAAAGGTGTTCTCTTAGTGGGTTTTATGTCTGCTCGCTGTTTGGGGTTTTTGGACAATATTTTTTAAATTAAAGAAATTTGCTCTGGCTTTCATGTGGGATGAACGGCAATCCTCTCTGGGATATTAGCTCTCTCAGATGCGTTTCAGTAAATGATGGAGTACTTGCAAGTTTGTACTTTGTCTTAGCGGTCTGGACAGCCAGAGGGTCCTTCAGGTCCCGTTCCCATGGCAGTTTTCCACATAACCATCGCAGCATGCAGTAGCCGAGGATTTCAAGGTCACTTCGTCTGGACAGGGCTACAGGAGTAGGCATTAAGAGTTAGAGATGAGGGATAGGGAAGTTCTTGAGAAATAGAGAAATCTTTGAGCGAACTACTGTTGATAAAATATGAACAAGCCAAATGGGCAAAGTGCTTTGTTTGTTCAGCTGGAGTAAAACTTAAAACGCCCGGGCGTTTGGCCCCGGTCCACAGACAGGCAATGACTTGTTGCCGTTGAAAGTAGGGGTCAGTTTCCTCACCTCCCCCAGCTTCATCCTTCCTTAGTCTAGCCTGTCACATGAACTTGATCCCCATGGCCTCTGACATGATCCAGACAACCCATAACCCGGCACCAACACTTTCTCAAAGAGCTAAGCAGTAAAACAAAGAAATAAATGTCTGCAGCTAAATTGCTAACATATGTTCCAGGAAGTCCACGGGGTCCACACTGGTCATGCAGAGACCCTTTAAGCCCAGACTAAACACCGATGGCCTTTCCTGTTCCGCTGGCACCGGCCACATCTGAAGGCAGAAGGATATGACGAAGCTGCCATCTAGTGTGCGGTGTGGAAACCAGGGCCGGCTCAGCTTCTCCAGTTACGTGCAAGTCCAGGATAAACCACGCCGACTGCTTTGGGTGCACAGTTCTAAGATTTTCCAAATATTATTTTTAAATAGGAGCCACACCAAGCTAAACTCTCGTCCCATATCCTGAACAGCAGATGTAAAGAGGGGGCCATGGTATGCGTGTGTTGGGAGCGGGGGAGTGAGGAGGGTAAAGGGGTAGGGAGTAGATTTTGAAGTCGGGCAAATAGAGGCTTTTAGAATTTAATATAAGACAAGTTTTCATAAAAAATACAGTAAAAGAACACTTTCAGGCCACTATAAATACCATCTGTATCAAACTACTAAATACCAGTAGACCAATTTCATCATTTTATATATTTTTTTAAAGTGCCTTGTTTCAAAAGATGGACAACGGAGCCCAAGAAACATGCCAAATATAACTGATACTTATTAAGAAATCAATGAAATAATGATTAAAACACTAACAAACACCCACAAAATATGCTCATTATTTTTACAACCATTCTAAATCATTATAAAACAATGGGCTGGCATCTACATTTCTACCACTACTTGAATGTTCATCTGTAGGGATCTATAATCTCTTAAGGACGACATGTGGCTGTTAATCCTACTGTAAACAGACAGCCTCTTTTACTATCTTCCATTAAGTACATTCTGAAAAATCACTCCGTAAACTTCGTTTTTAATTTAAAAATTCATCTACGCAGAGCAACGCTGCCCACACATCGAATCACTTTTGGTTACCATACATAAGTTATAAAAGCAGAAGACAAGATTAGCTCTTACACATACTCTATCTTAACTGCTGTTAGAGTATTGGACTATTAAAGGCCCTTCAATCTAGCAGAAGGCTACAGTCCCATGGGTACCATTCACTTCCTGCACAAGCTTCAACAATGTCCTAATGCAAGACTTGGCTCTCATATGAAAATAAAAACACAATCTCTACCACGCTCTTTTGGAGTGATTTCTTCGGTAATAAATCTCCCATTAATAATGGAACGGTTCCATTTGTACAGATGTGTTCACAAGTCCGTTTTCCATTATGGCAGTTCTTGACCACCACCACTTGAAGAAACAAAAAATCCCATCCTCTGATTTTCAAAAACTGACATTCTGGCACCTGTTTGGATGACTTAGGCTACACACAAGAGGTCTTTTGAGGAAAAACAATCAGAATTAAAATGGAATGAACCTTCCCAGACACTTTCCCCAGCCCCCCAACTGAGGGATTAATTGATACGAAGCTGTAAGTAATGATACGTCATCTAGATTTCTGAAGCCAATCTTCCATAAACTGGTCTTCATTTGAAACAGCCCTTTGAGAGTTAACTTTACTTCACTGTTACAGTTTGGTGTTACCTAATTAAAATACATTATCACATTTTCAATCTTTTAGTTACTTTCTTTTACTGCACATATACATTAATAACTACGGCTATAGGTAAATAAACGTTTTACTACTTTTTCCACTAAGTTCAACAGAAATAAAAGTAATTTAAAAAAGAACATGCTATAGTTACCCTTTGCCATCACTAAACAGTATTAAAAATGTTTCTGAGTACATATACCTCACTGGAACTCCCTCCCAGAGAAACAGATTTAGAAGTTTGTTTTAGTGAAGTTAAAATCTCAAACTGTACCAATGATCTTGTCTTCTTTTCATCTAGTATACACAGAAGAGTAATTTTAATACCTTGTAAAATAATTAAAAATAAATATTCTAGATGACATGGAGCCCTGGTCGTGCAGTGGTTAAAGTGATCGACTGCTAACCAAAAGGTCAGTGGTTCAAAACCACCAGCGGCCCCGAGAAAGATGTGCCATCTGCTTCTGTATAGATTCACAGACTCGGAAACCCTATGGGGTTGCTATGAGTCGGAATTGACTCAACAGCAGTGGGTTTGGCTTTATGCTAGATGACACTATTAGAATGTATATGTGTATAATTAATACAAAGAATTGATCATAGTTGAAAACGACTATATCTAAATATGAAAATATATGTATTTTTTCATTTGAAAGTTGCTTCTTTCATTATACGGTTTTTGAATTCATTTAAAAACATGCTAAATGCAGCAGTAAATAGAAAGAGCCCTGGATCAGGAATCCTAAATTTAGAGGTCCAATTCTAGTCCTGCCACTAACGATTATGTTTCTGGCTCTAAAATTCAGTGATGGTGGGAAATACATTTCTTTTTAATACATTTTCATTCATTTGGGTAGAAAATACATTATGAATTGTTTTGTTTCTCTTTGCATATTTTATTATAATACATAAAGGTCCTCAGTTGCCTTTGGCAATTCATATAATCATTAAAAGGCTGTTTCTATATAGATTGCTTTAAAAAAAATGAAGCTTTATTCAAGGTGCTATTGCTTAGAAATGTAACAAGATTTAGTAATTAACAGCACTTTCCCTCTAAACTTTTTCAAGTCAGTTTCTAAACACTACTTGGCATCTAATTTTTATTTCTCTTACCTAGCTCACAAACGCGGAGCAATGTACATGCCTCTTTTCACTGAAAGGCTGAGGTGCTCTCAGGCATTCAGCATTTAAAAATTTATGAAGTATTGCCAAGAATAACAGTAATAATTAAAAAAAGACACAGGGAGGGGGGGATCTGAGTTCTACTTCACTAGAAGGCAGATTCCAGAAACAGCTGACACTAGAATGCATATTTAAAATAAAAACAATTGATATGACTTATGGAGCTGCTACTATGCCAGGCATTCTAACTGCTTTCATATTATCTCATTTAATCGTCCCAACAATCATCATTATCCCTGTCCACAGATAAGAAAACAGAGGCTCAGAGAGGTGATATAACTTGCTCAACATCACAGAGCACATGTTGACAGAGCTCAGCATGCAAACCCAAGTCTGTGAGAATCCAAAGCCCATGCCCAATCCAGTAATTACTTCGCCTCCAGCATTATTTTAACACCATTCACACAACATAACACACATTACTTCTATAGTTAGGTAAATGGTTAAAGCAGACATTTTAGCTTGAAACACACAGAGGCGTTCTGACCCAAAGAGGGTTGTCTGGGGAAGGTATAAACAAGCAGCAGATCCTGAGGTCTAAGCCGCATGACTAACACAAATTTTCATACAACTGTTCTTTCGTGAAACTGTTTCTTTCAAACTACTTCATACTGATGGAGGAGGGTCTCCAGTTGAAAAAGTGATTTGTAAAGTGTTAACGGGTCTTTCCACACTGGCAGGAGAACAACAGAAAAGTGACGTTGGAGGACTGATCCTGATTATAAAGACAAACAGAAATAAATTATTTGTGTCCAAGTCAGCAAACGGAATGAAAAGGGGAAGTGGGAGAAAAGAGAAGTGTAAATGTTAATCTCAAAATGGGTCTGAATATTTGGGGAAAGTGCTTTATTTCTCATATAGAGTAACATTATGGAATACACACACGTGTGCGTACACACACACACACACACACTATGGAAGGTTTGGCAGGAAATAATATAGTGAAATGGAAAATTTTTGCCTCAGGCAGACACAGTTTAAATGCTCCAAATCCTAGTTTATAAGCTCAGAAAAGACAATCAGAAGGCAGAAAACATCTGATTAAGATGCTCATCTGATGAAGTGAACGCTGACTACCTGCAGAACAAATTTAAATTTTATTCTTGTTCTTCCAGCTACTGACCTATGTAATTCAGTATTTTATTAAATCGGATGTGGAAAGGGCTGGAAAATTTTATGGTGGCCACTATTTACTGGAATTTCAAAAAGAGTATTAGGGAAGTAGAATGCAATGTGTCACATTTCAAAGAAAACATTCAGCCCAGGCCTCTGCTATTTTTTTTCAGTACCTTTTAAATTCTAAGCACAGTAGGTTTTTTTGGCAACACTCCTGGGTGGGTGAGGCTTAGGCAAAGTTATTCAACAGAGCAAAGGTATCTTACTTTTTGGCTACCATACATTCTTAACTCAACCAAACAGTTCAGTTAAGAAGCCAACATATGTCAACACTTTACAAGGCATGTCCAAACGTAACAATTGGGTATACGTCATACAGAAAGAAGAGAGCCTTCATCATTATCATTAACCAAGAACTATTTATAGCAAATTTACCTAAAGAAGAAATCAACAGTATGTTTTCCTGACTACCAACAGAGCACATCAATAAGTTGTTGACTTATCTTAATATCTTACCATAATTGGAAAACGGGTTCCCATTTCTGAATTACTGTTTAAGAAGGTAGGTATTGTGTAAGCCGTGTCATTTTCCAAAGTTTGGGGACGTGAAAATACATTCTCAGTTTGTTTCACATAGATTTTTATTTTATTTCACATGCAAGTTGCAGTGCTGGATTAGAGTGAGGTGAAACCATGCAAGAAATAATAGATGACTTGGATTTCATATACTGTAGAGACTGGCAAAACTTGAAGAGTGGGTAATATATTTCTTTCCTTACTGCTGAATATATTACATAAACAAATGGACATTTAAAATGTAACTTAGATATCATATTTTATGCTTATCAATGATCCCAAATTTAAACAGCTATTATATACTCAATGCACAGGTCTCAAATATTTAAAAAAGCTCAATATGTTAAATGCAGTATATCTCTAGAGAAATCAGGTATCGACTTCAGGCCTCAGTGAGTAGAAAAATCTACAAAAATCCATACCACACATTGATCCAAATATTGCTTTTTAACATTACTAAGCACGTAACAAATTTTAAAATAGTGTATTTGACACAGACATAATTCTCTTTAATTATCAGGCTATAAGTCCAAAATGTGTCAGTGTTTATACATGCTAGTTTTTATGACAAATATAAAATTAATAGAAGAAATAAGCCCAACATATATTACTCTAATTTCACACTAAATGAAGCACTTCAGTCACTTAGAACATACCTATAGGCCACACAAGAGAATTGACTTTGGAAGATTACCTACAATTTTTATTAAAAAACATACAGATATAGGTGTATGATGGTTCCAGTAGAAATTATCCATCCATCCACCCATCTATCTACATATTTTTCTACATATATTTTTCTGGTTTGTAACAATATCTATGTATATCTTTCAACTTGTAATAACACAAGCTAGTAAAAACAATGTTCGTTTTTTTCCTTTCCCTTTCAATACCCTTCCCTTTTACATCATGTGGAACTAGATGATACTAGGTGAAAAGACTCATCAGCACCTCGTACAGGCTCCTTTTGTTACAAAAATCCAGTTAATCCAAAGAAAAGAGAGATAGAGCTTCAGTTTCTGAAAAACTACTAGAAAAAGCAGCAGAAACCAGACAGTGGACGGATTCAGGGTCTCTGCTGAATGACTCACTCATAAGTCGGGTTTACATGGAAGTCTGAATGTTTCCTTTGGCCTGACCAGACACAGATACGCCCGAGACATAACAGATATTTCCACAACTAGAGGCTGTATTTCCCCGTGAGGACTTTTTTTCCCTCCATATGCTTTCCATTGCATTATCTTTCTCAGTATGTCTCCGATCGCCTAGCTGGACTGGTATAGAGAAGATTTTTCTGAAACGACGTGGTGACTGTACTCAAAGCAAACACATGAATATGTATGAATCTGACCTGCTACATTTATCTACAGGATTTATGGCCCTGTTTATTTTGGTTTCTAGATAGGGCTAAATGATTATTCATTTCTAAGAAAACCCTAACCTGAAATGTTTTATTTTGGAAAATTAAACACAAAATATTAGCAATGAAGAGAATTGAAACATTTGAGGACATCAGAACCTCCATTTTACATACCAGGTTACTAAATTTTCAGCATATGTGTATATGTGTGTATGTGTGTGTGTGTGTACATTCCTAAGAGTTTAGTGTAAATCCTATTTTAAATGCACTGAACCCATTACCAAGCCAAACCCACTGCTGTCAATTCCAACTCATAGCGACCCTATAGGACAGAGTAGAACTGCCCCACAGGGTTTCCAAGGAGCGCCTGGTGGATTCGAACTGCCCATCTTTTGGTTAGCAGCTGTAGCTCTTAACCACTGCGCCATCAGGGTTTCCAAATGCCCTGAAGGAGTATACTACTTTATAGGAATCTTACGTGAAAACTGTGATAAAAATGAGGATTCACTCCACCATATAATTTTTTCAGCAAATATCAGAAATACTTAATGTAGGCTCTCCTTGCATAGTTTTCTCAGGGAGTTCATATCATCCATCTATGAGGAATCTCAGTTCCATCTTCTCCCCAAAGACTCAGCATGGGGAACGCCACCCAACTCATTAACATGTATTATTATTCAGGGGGAAGAAAATGAAATGGACTACCAAATCAAAGTTTGCTCAAATCTTTCATAAAGATAGCCCAAAGAAAACGAAGCCCTACACTGTGGAATAATTGAAGAGGACTTCAGAATTCCGCAGTCCAAACACTGACCAGGCCCACATGTAACAACTCTACTTCCCCTTCCAGTCAACATGGTTTCTGAGCTATTTTAGTAGCAAAATACACACTGGATCAATGTTCGAGCTATCAGATGAAACAAGCGGTCCAACCATAACTTAGTTTTGTCATTAACACAACCAGACCAAAGCTTAAGAATCTCTATGACGAATTTCCAGTTATACCACTATCAAAAAAGTACTCGTGTTTCTGAAAATTTTATTTTACCAATAAATCTGGCAAAGGTGAAGAATGAAATTCACTGAGAATGAAAGCACTTTAAATTGAAAGAAAAAAAAAGATGGTATCGATGAGTATTTAAGTCTTTTATTTTTAATTAAAGCGATCTCCCATTTATATCTTTAAATGCTCATTGATGAGATTTATTAATGATGTAAATGGTGAAAAATTACACATTACTAAATTTCTGAGTGACCTATTATTTTTCTAACTAAACTATATATGTAAAAAGTAGTAGTTTCTCTCACTCTAATCAAGAGTATAAAAGCTAATTTCCACTTCAGAAAATGTAACCTACAATTCTTCCCAAAAGGAAGAAGGTATGCAACCGACAGACTTGTTTCACTTTTTCATTGGCCTACCTTAATCTAGCGTGGGTTTTAATTGCTCTAGAAAATGATCAAATCCCTCTACGTTACATGGTCAATGGCCCTTTTAATAGAAAAGGCAATAATATACAGTTGTTTGCACCAACTAAAACTCGTTAGAGAGTATTAGTTTAAGGTAAGAGTTCAACAACCATTAACAAGTACAAATGTCTAACTGCCTTTTCATGAAAATGTAGTCCTTTCAAAGCTGCTTAAAAATTCTTTGTTTGGTTTAGCATACATGAAAATAGTTTTATAAACAAAATTTACAAAGAATATAATTTTGAAAGCCAAAGTTTTTCAATAATCACCTTTTTTTTCCACTAGCATAACATTAGAATTGACTTTTTGTCTTGCTGACAGAGCAACTAAGAAAGTACAGTTGTATTGACCATATTGATTGGGAACAAAGCAACCATCGGTGGGACTCTGGACCATATATTGTCAATATTGACCTCCTATTTCCTTTTCCACGGCTTTCTGGGTCGGCTATTGGATTTGGACTGCAGTGTAATAAACAGCTAAGGTTTAATTAATGGTAAATGAATACAAGACATAGGTTATGACTTTAACTAATTAGGGAATTGTTGAATTAAGTCTGCCTTGGAATGCAAGGCAGTACAATCAATATCCAATAAAAGGACTATGTATGTAATTTACCTGCAAATGTGTTTCCAATACCATCAAAGTGAGTTTAAATAAGGAAGATATATGAAAGGCGACTAGGAGAGATTTCCACAAGTTAACACTTTAGAGTTTCAGAAGAGATTTCCCTGTTGTTGAGAGATGATATCTTCCCACGCTCTAATAAGGACACAATGAAAAGCAGGGATAATTCTTCACGCGTGCCCCCGCGCCAAATCTGTGATACACGCTACAGCACAGAACAAACTGGCTGACCTTCCAGTCCACCTATACAAACTATCAACTTCCTGGCCAAAACGAGCACCGAGTTGTGCTTCCCTAACATCCTTTTGCTCCCTTCTCACTTATCAGTCTGTATCTCCTCCCCTTTTAGAAGAAATACTAAATTCACTACTTTGGATAAAAATTTCACCAGCGCTCTCACTCTTCCAACTGATCATGCAAAGGCCATTTCATGCAGGTTTACGACTCTTCTCTCATCATTCCACTGAAATAAAGACAAGGGAAAAGAAACCCACCTACTCCCTTGTGGGCATCCAAGCTGGTAAACTCTATCGTCCCATTATGGCCTTTTCTAGGATTTTCCTGATACTGTTTGTGGTTCCCATTGGGACAATATCTGTAAGAAAGTCCATAATCTGCAAGGTAAACCTGGAAGACATGAAGAGACAAACGAGTAACGCTTCTGTCCTCTGCAAATACAACCTTCATAATTAAGTCTTAAGAAACTGATAGGTTAAGAACAGCTTCAGATCTACATTTGATTAAACCAAATGGTGCGTTAGGATAAAACCTATCCAACGGGGGGCCATAACAACTGACCTTCCAACTTACTTCATCCTAGGAGTATCTTATTTCTGAGCTGACTCAGATTTTTAGCCTTTTTATTTTGCTCCTAAGGTCCCTTTCCTCCAGGTGGGCATCTAGACATCATAAACCATAATATGTCTTTTTATTTATATTCATAGAGCTTATGAGGCTCTGCGTTTCCTTGTAACTCCTCCCTGTCATATAAAACTGTTTGAAGCAGGGAGGGGAGATGAGAGCAAATATTCTAAAAACACAAACCTAATGTGATAGGAGTCTCCATTAACAGGAAGTCTAAAAATAGTGAAAAGACTGTAAAAGGCAATGACTCTTTAAAAAACAAAACAGAAAAGACAAAAACCACCACCATGCTGTCTGTATTTAAGAATGGAACATCGATGTGGGCCTTTTGGCCTTTCAGACAGATCCATATCATCACTGTTATCCTTGTGAGTCAGTCAGAATTGCAAGCAAGGTCTCCAAACAGAAGATAGATCATTAAAAGTCAGAAAGCAATTCAAGTGAATTTATCTCAGATTACTTTTGGAGAGCGAGGTGGGGGACAGTAGTTCTACAGATACAGCATACACTGAATGAAGAATTGTTTTGACTAGGCACTTATTCTGACATATAGTTGGGAACTACTACATTCTGACATGTCACCATGCCCCCCCACAAAACAAGATGGTTGCAACTGTCAAGAAGTTTTTTTTCACATGTATGTGTTTAAAATTTAGGGATTTGGGCAACATTTTATGGTGTAGCTTCATGACGATAGGGTATTGCAATATGACCTGCGTCTTAAAATTTAATACCTATTAAAAGAAAACTTAGTATTTAAATTTTAGTCTCTAAGTTTTTGCTTTCAGGATAGACTGAGTAGGATATATTTTGAACTTCCGCACCAAGTTATTTCATTTGGAGAACAGAGCTTGCTAGAGTGTTTGAAAACACAGTATTTCTGTTTGGTCTCTGCCTCACAGATGCTATTTCCCAGCATGCCGCAGAAGTAACTGATTCTCTGCCCTCAGTAGCTAGACTTCAGGGTCAGGTGGATAACAGGTCACTTGCTTTCACTGTTCCTGTTGCATTTTTGTCTTTATTCATTTTGAGCACTAAATAGATGCCTTTCACTTTGCACAGTAGATATCCTGAAAATGTACATATTAATAATAATTCAGCAAACTGAATCATATTTTAAATACACAGGAGCAGTTTGCTATTTCACTAAAGAGTGATCAAGAAGCGTTCCGTGTAGTCAATAGCCAAAGAAGAAGGCCCAGAATTTATAAAGTGCCTGCTCTGCACCGGGCTAATGCTAAGTGCTTTCCATTCATTGTCCCATGTCATCCTCACAGAAATCCGAGGAGGTAGGTACCATTATCCCTGGTTTACTAGTAAGAAAACTGAAGTTTAGTGAGGTTAAACAACTTGTGTAGTGAAATGAAACCAGGATTCCACTGCGGTTCTGACTCCAGAGCCTTCACACTCTCAATCTTTGGGCAGCAGGCCTCAGTGTCTGCTGGTGCTCAACTTTGAACAACACTGCAGGATTTGCGTTCAAGGTAATGGCAAAAAGTTAGCAATACAGTTAAGACACACCTTAACTGTTTACTGACTCTTTCAGTCAATGGATATTTCAGACCCAAAAGTAATTTAAAATGTGCATGGTTGCACGCTCGAGTTCGTGTACTCCAAGAAAAGAATCAACGCCTGTCAAGCAACAATAGTGCTATCACTTGAGTAACCAGAAATGCTCTTGGTGGTCCTAATGGAGAGTGATGGGTAGGATTCAAATAGTCACGGAAGGTTACTGAACCAAGTAGTAAAGGTACGCTTCCTTTAGCAAAAGGAACAATTACCCATCACACTCCAGTATAGAGACAGTCCCCGGGTTACAAACGTCCAACTTCCGTACACCTGTAGTTACAAACCAACCCCGTAAAGCCTATTGTATTAAAAATTCAAGGTTCATACAACGGTCTGTAATAACAAACAGGAGCTACTTCACGACATACATCAAAGCATTATTATTATTACTACTGTATTATTACGTTAAAGGTGTTTTAGCGTATCTGGAAGTGTTTCTTTAATGTTCTTTATGCATAGAAAGGTACACTATATACTATATACTAAGACAAACATCTGATTAACTGATGTTAGATACGAACCATATCTACCTGTTGCAACTTATGTACAAATTCAACTTAAAGACAGACTTAGGAACGGAACTCACTGGTAATCCGGGGACTGCCTGCATATATCTTTTTTTTTTTTTGGTTTATCTCCTAGTTTCACGTGGGCACGAGTCAGAATTGACCAGAAGGAAGGCAACTGTCTTTTGTTATTGTGGGTAGTTATTTTTACTTTTGATATAGTTCAGAATATTTATATTCTTAGAAATTCTGTGAGAGCCAGACAGGACAAATTCTCTAAAGTTATCACTGAAGTTTTACCATTAGCATCTATCAATGTATTTTTAAAGTATAGATTTTGGGACACTATTGAAAAAATCTCGGAGTGACTGCTTTGGAAGTAGAAATTTGCTGTAAGAGGAAATAAAATCAGTAATCTGTCCCATGTAATCAAAATGTTGACAAATTAATTTGATTCAGATGAGGTCAAAGTGAGAGTATCTACTAAGATAACTTAGTAATAATAGAAAGTCTAAAATTTTGTTAGAACAACTCAAAGAGAGGGAAAAAAGCTGGGAAACGTCAAACAAGATAAGGAAGAAGGGAAAGGAATGAATATTTGTTGAGGGTCCGTTATGTGATAATAACTGAGCAAAGTAATCTTCACAAATTACCTCATTAAGTTCAGGCAACCACCTAGCCAGATAGCTCTGGTCTCATTTTACATATGAGGAAGCTAAGCATCCCATTGGAAACCCTGGTGGTGTAGTGGTTAAGTGCTACAGCTGCGAACCACAAGTTGGCAGTTTGAATCCATCAGGTGCTCCTTGGAAACTCTCCAGGGCAGTTCTACTCTGTCCTATAGGGTCGCTATGAGTTGGAATCCATGCAACAGCAACGGTTTTTGTTTAAAAAACTTGCCCAAGCCACAGATCTAGTAAAGGATCAAAGCAGGATTTAAACCCAGACCAATATGGCTTCAAAGTACATTCTCCTTTTTAAAATACAACACAGAATCTGGGGTTCTGTCCACTTCTGAAAGTTTGTATAAATCAAAGGTAAGGTGAAGCGGAGCTCAGCTGACAGCACGGGTCGCAGTCTAGCGCCGGTTTTTTTATGCCCTTGAGCTAAGAATGGTTTTCACATTTTTGGAGGATTGTTTAAAAAAAAAAAATGCAACAGAGACTCATATGTGGCCCACAGAGCTCATAAAAGCCTAAAATATTTACTATCTGGCCATTTATAGAAAAAGTTTTCCAACCCCTAAAATCTAGAGTAAAACTTGGTTTCGGTTAACCTTTATTTTTTTTTAGAATCTATTTTCCCTCTGAAATAAAAAACAATTACTTAATATTTTTCACTTTCTTAGGCGTAAATATGGATGATATCCTTGGTTTTAGACAAGCCTGTTAAGAAACTCCCAAGATTTACAAGATCTGATGTGGGTAATTATTTGCTTTGTAACAGGACTAGGGAAACCCTGGTGGCGTAGTGGTTAACAGCTATGGCTGCTAACCAAAAAGTCAGCCGTTCAAATCCACCAGGCATTCCTTGGAAACTCTATGGGGCAGTTCTACTCTGTCCTATAGGGTTGGTATGAGTTGGAATCAACTGGACGGCAATGGGTTTTTTTGTTTTTTTTTAACAGGACTAGCCATAGGAATAATTTAAATAGATAGCTCCCTAATGCATTTAGAATTATTTTCTTTTCATGCAACTTTTCTGAATGTAGTAACCATTTCTTTTCTGCATGAGTACCAGGGACACCCCAGATTGCTTCCCTTCATCTCCAAGCTAGCGCGTCTGACTCCCAGCCCAGGGATCTTTCTTACACTATACTGCCTCTCACATTTCCATGTGGTACTCATTTTATTTTCTCGCCTTTCTTAGGCGCGTAGTTCGTTTCTACATAATTCTGTGAGGAAGTTGTATGCCGTTATCCACATTTAACAGATGAAGAATAATGTGATACACCCAAATAATGCAAGTCACTCAACACACTTTCATTGTGTCCAGCTGCTACAAAGGATTGTATTTTTTTTAGAGAATTCCTCATCCCTCCCTCCCCCTACCCCAAATACCTAATCTGACCCCATGCTTTCACAGACTCCTTCAATTTTAACATTTTACTATTAAAAAGGTAGTGTGGCAGCCAAGGAGGTGCAATCCCATCAAGAAAGAACTGGTCTTCCTTCTGTAAAGAGTTCAATAAGCTGACAGCCTCCAACAGCAAGACCACTGGGCCCCACCAGGACACATGGACCAAGGCTATACTCTTCTAGGCAGCCCCGTTCAATGACTAATCAAGGCAGGGATACTATCTGGTCACTTCTACCTGTTATGGATTGATTTGTGTCCCCCCCAAAGATGTTAAGTCCTAACCCCCCATTCCTGTTAATGTGACCCTACTTCCCCTTGAAGACGTTATCTGTTAGGTTAACATGAAGTCATATTGGAGTAGGGTGGTCCTAATTGTATATGTCCGGTGCCCTTATAAAAGAGGAGACACAAGACAGAGACGCAGAGAATGATGCCAGGTGACGCTGCCGCTTCGAGCCAAGGAAGGCATGGAGCCACCAGAAGCTAGGAGAGAGACGCGGCAGAGTCTCCCTCAAAGCCTCAGAAGGAATCAACCCGGCCAACACCCTAATCTCAGACTCCCAGTCTCCAGAATGAAGACAATCCATTTCCGTTTTTTAAAGTCACCTGCTCTGTAGCACTTCGTTACAGTGGTGCTAGGAAACCAAGAGACTACCAACGTGAGCCTCCCCTGCTCTCCACCGCGTTGTGCAACGCGTGCTCTGGGCTCCCCGCTAGACCCCTCGACACTTGGTCAGATCATCGTCTCAGCCGCTCCCTACCCAATCCCGCTTCTTTCCCGCTTTCCTTTCACAGGTGTCAGGTCAGCACCCCACTCTGAAAGCTTCCCCTTTCCAGTCCTGCTTCCCTTTCATCGTTCATAGTTATTATCCCTTTTTCCCCCAGTAAAACTCTATTACAGTTTAATTCCTTCTCAGCGTCTGCCTCCCTGAAAATCTGATTTAACATCAAACCAAAAACCAAACCCATTGCTGTCGAGTGGATTCTGACTCATAGTGACCCTACAGGACACAGAACTGCCCCATAGGGTTTCCGAGGAATGACTGGGGGATTCGAACTGCTGATCTTTTGGTTAGCAGTGGAGCTCTGAACCACTGTGACACCAGTGTCATAGCCCTGATTAAAAGCTCTAAAAAAATGAAGACGAGAAACAAATTAGCCCTTGGATGCCACAGAAAACACCACTTTCTTACACTAACCAGGTCTGCTTAAAAAAATCAACTGATTTTACCTAGCCAGACTTGCGCCCATTGATGCCACAGCCTCAGCTGCCCCACTTAGTTAAGCCTCTCCTTCCAGTCTGCTCTGCTTCCTCCTGCTTGTAGGCTCCTACACTGCTGTACTTTCCCAGATGGGTGGGCGGAACCAACAATTAAAGAGCACCCGGTGATAACACTCTGCAGTGATCTGCAGGGCAAGGGCTCTTATCTTCAGCTCTTCTCCCCTCCCCTTGAGGGGAGACGCCAAGTGCTTTTCTCCACTGCTGACGGTGGTTTCCGGCCGGACCTTCGGGCACCTGGATCCCACACCGGAATGTAGGTCCTTTTAATTACAGGGCAACTCAATGGGATTTCACTTGTGTCCACACAGGTTTGCTGTTTAACAACATACAAGGTTATTCAGCTTTTATTTCTGTTGGAGACTGTAAGCTACTAGGGAAGAAGTCGCCAGGAAAATGTTATATATATATATATACACACACACACACACACATATATATATGTATATATATATATTTGTATCCATGACAGCGCCCATGCCAAGGCCTTCTGCACAGTAGGTTTAAATAAATTATTGATTTGATTTGATGGTAATAATTGGACAGACTGAACTAAATTCAGTTCAACAGGTATCTGAGTGCTGAGCATGATAAAAGTATCGAGAATCTTACTATTTAGAAAAAGAAGAAGAAGAAAGGAATGCATATTTATTGAATATCTGCTAGGTGAGAGAATTAAGTGCTTTACCGAAGTCAAATTATTTAATCCTTATGACCCTGAGAGGTTATTTTTAGCCCTGTTTGAGGAGAAGAAAATAGGAAAAAATAGGTTAGGTGTTCTGTGCAAAACAAATAAACTTTCAGTAACTGGCAAAACTAGGATTGGAACCTAAATCAGCATGACCAGAAGGCTGAGTTTTTTCCGTATGCCCCACACAGAGGAAGGGGAGACGATCTACAGGTATGTGTACTCTGACAGAAGGCTAATAACCTATGGGATTTCAGGGCAAGGGAGGTTATTTCTAATTGGGAGACTCATAGAAAGAAACATTTGAGTTGGGACTTGAGAAATAGCTACCATTTCCACGTATCGAGACGGGGAAGAAGAAACGACACGAGAAAGAAAAGCAAGACCTCAGTCAGTGTGTGCTGGGAGGGGTCAGGGTTTTGGAAAAAACAACACAAGTTGGAAAACAGGTGAGCATCAGCTTTGAAAACCGGGTTAAGAAGACAGCACACAATTCTGTAAGCAAATACAAGTCATCAACGGTTTTTTGGCAAGAAATACTATTAGTGCTGGCAGCATCAGAAAGGAGGAAATGGAAGCAGAGTCCACTTAGGAGACAGAACAACAGTCCGGGCAAGAGGCAACAGGAGGTTGGACTAGGGCACCGCTGAACAAAAGAAAGGAGACAGACGAGAAAGTCAGAATTACTGGCCAAGAGGGCTGAGAGAGTCAAAGATACCTGTGAAAATGGTGTGACTGGGGAAGTGATGACTCAATGCATAGAGAAAAAGATGTATTTACTTTTGCACCAAAAGCTAAGTGGTTGATTGGCAGCTAATTCCCTAATCCAGCTAACTCCTGGTTCTGTTAGTTTATGCAAGACTGAATGACCAGTTCATTGCTGATGGAGTCAAACCAGAGCATTCCTGATCCTCAAGCAATCAGAGATCGAGTACTGGATGGCCAGGCTGGCTCAAACGAAAGCATTTCTCAATGCCTGATTAGGTGTTGATATGGTAGAGAGGAGAAGGGAAGTAAGAGATTACAGAGCAGGCAGAGGAGGACGCAGGGCGTTAATGTGAAAAAATATCACCATCCGTCGGCACGTGGACTTCAATCACATGTGTCCACTACTTTGTGTACCTCCACCATGTAGATTCACATTAGAGAACAGATGTACATGCAGTCCAAAAAATGAAGTTCACTTTTGAAAAACAATGTTGAGTAGATACACTTAAATTTTTCCTGGTGTATCACCTAATACCTTATCATAATTTAGATGATTTTATACAATTAAATCATTTTAATTACCACACTCTGTTGTAAAGAGAAATGTGTCCATTCAGTTCTGATTATCAGACACTGGTGGAACTTATACTATGGAGGAAGACATGACTTCTTAAATGGCGGTTTAGAAAACACTTTTAAAACCCTAAGAACATATCAACTTGTTGAGCAACTTTAAAGGCTCCCATTTAAAAAAAAAAAAAAGCCAACATTTATCTTGTTTGAATGCTCTTGTTGTCAGTTGCCATGGTGTTGGCTCCAACTAGTGGTGACCTTCTGTAATTCAGAACAAAACAATACCCGGTCCAGCCCCATCTCCATGATAGTTGGTATGTTTGAGTCTGTTGAGTCCATTGTTGAGGTTATTCTTATCTGAATAGTTCATAATCTTTTCCTATTCTTTCAACAAGATACTGTAATGTGAAAATCTTCACGATCAACTAAATGCTCATTTACTAATGAAAATCACTATACCCGCAAATGGGAACGCAGTCCAGAATGAACAAGCAGCCTGCGTGTGTTCACGAGAATCATTCAGATCTGTTAAGGTCTACGGAGAGTTTCATAGCTGCTACTACATTTTGGTATAAATCTGTGCCTGGTATTCTTTTCGCAGCAGTATTTTCTGTTTCTCCTTAACGTCTCTATCTTGCTCACCAATAATGAAATGCCACGAGCGGACACATACGCATGACCACAATTCAGTCTAGAGAAAATAACGTAACTTGAAAACAGGCTGACGTTTACTTTCCAAAGTTGGATGCTTATTGGGATACGCACAAAGCTATGCTTTTCAAAAATATAGTTTGACTTTGTTTCAGTGAATTGTAAGAAGTCTGCAGTTTTGTTTTCTGACGGAAATAATATACTCTTATTCTTAAAATGATCTGTTTAATATGGTAATTTTTTTCCTCCTAGATTTCATAGCTACCTAGTTACATTTCAAATCTGAAATGTTATCCATTCTTTTTCTTTACATTTAATATTCATTGAAAATGAGAGACATGAAAACATGCCCAGGGAGATCATATGAAGAAACAGCAGAAAAGTTGACCCTCTCATCAGTGTTTCTTCACTCCATCTAAGGAGCGCTGGTGGCACAGTGGTTAAGCGCTCATCTGTTAACTGAAAGGTTGGCAGTTCGAACCCACAGCCACTCCTCGGGAGAAAGATGTGGCTGTCTGCTTCTGTAAAGATTACAGCCTTGGAAACCCTATGGGTCAGTTCTACTCTGTCCTATAGGGTCACTAGGAGTTGGAATCGACTCAGTGGCAATGGGTTTTTCTCCATCTACTGCTCCATCAGCTCCCAAGACTACAGTTCCCTTAAATGCTGCCATAAATTCAAGTATCAAAACAAAACGCTGAGGTATATTTAGCAGTATTCTAAGCGATCTTAGCATTTGGAACCCCTGACCTGCTCTTCTATCCCAATCTGGCCTTTTGGCAAAATGGAAAGCCTATTGGATTAAGTAGGATTATGACCAAATATGCTTTCCAGACTTTTTGGGGGAAATCCCCTCAATAGTTTATAGGCTAGAAATTGCTTCTTTACTAAAACTGCCTTCACCTACAAAAGAAATCCTTTCCAATAACAGTCTACTTCCAACTTGTCCTTTTTAACACAAGTGTTAAAGGATCATATGAAAGAACCTACAATAACCTAATTTCCAATCTGATATCAAGGAACAAAATTTGTTTTTGTTCCTTAACAAAAAAATAAGCAATGGGACAGAACAATCTGGACTGCATCTGATTTACAGTCCTTCTCTTTGTCTAAATCAAATCTGAACTTAAGACTTGTCAAAGTCAGGAAGCATTATCAGAGCTTGGTACATCTGTAAACAGCAGACACTCACAAAATGTTAGCTGACATAATCTGATTGTCATTTCTATGATATTATAAAGGTTCACCACATGTAGGTTGCGTCTACATAAACCACAGCAGTCCAGCATTAAAAACTCCCGTTTTACATTACAGAGCCAGCTAGGTGGCAATACCTTGCAGAGTTGGGGTAGTGTTCTCCTGGAGACTGTATATGCTCTAAACCAGCATCCCATATATAGTACTGTTTCTCCCACAGCAAGGATTCATGGGTCTAGGAACCAGGGGTAGAAATGTGAGTGGCACCATTCACTATTAGCCCTAGTAACCCACTCACAAAATTTTTGCTTCCTGTCCCCACGACCCTATGCTCTGTGGGTCTAGAGGTCTTAGTTCCAAAGGGAGGAATGCCCCCACCAGGAAACACGCTGATTCCATTGAACTGGAAGTTAAGAATGCCATCTGGCCACTTTGGGCTTCTCATGCCTCTGGATCAACAGTCAAAGAAGGAAGTTACCATACTGGCTGGTGTGATTGATCCTGATTACCAAGGGGGAATCGGATTGATATTACCTAATGGAGGTAAAGAAGAGTATTTCTGGAATACAGGAGATCCCTTAGGGTGTCTCTTGGTACTACCATGCCCTGGGATTAAAGTCAATGGAAAACTACAGCAACCCAATTCTGACATGGCTACCGATGGCCCAGACCCTTCAGGAATGAAGTTTTGGGTCACCCCAGCAGGCAAAGAACCATGACCAGCCGAGGTGCTTGCTGAGGGCAAAGGGAATATGGAATGGGTGGTGGAAGAAGGTGGTTCTAATACCAGTTACAATCACATGACCAGGTGCAGAAATGAGGACTGCAATTGTTACGAGTATTCCCTCCTTGCATGTGTGCATCAAACCTTTTTGTTTTCTTCACCTATAAACCGTAAGATGTACACTGGGCTGGTGTGTTTTCGGTTGCACACGTTAGTTGCATCACGTTAGGTGCAAGTATGACTTTCTCATTGTCTTTACTTAGAGATTATGTATGGTTTAAGGAGATGTGTACAGGTGCCAAGTTGACAAGGGATGGTAAGGTTAGGTGTCAGCTTGGCTGGGCCATGACTCTCAGTGGTTTGGCAGATATTATGTAATCATCCTCCATTTGTGATCTGAAGTGAATAGCCAATCAGCTGAAAGGGGAGTTTCCTTAGGAGTGTGGCCTGCATCCAACACATATGGATGTTCTGGCAAAACTTGCCCTCTCTCGATCCTGTACCCAACTTGTCATCCTCTGACCTTCGATTCTTGGGACTTGAGCCAGCAGCCTGCCATCTGACCTGCAGATTTTGGGATGCCCCATCTCTGCAACCTTGCGAGCCAGACACCTTCTGCCTGATCTGCCGATTTTGAGTTTATCAGGCCCTGAAACCACATGAGTCAGAAGAAGCCTGCAGCCTGACACTTAACCC